GGGAGAGGGAGAGGAAGGGATATAGTGATAGCGATAGTGATTGTGTGAGTATGTGTGTGTGTGTGTGTAAGTGTGTTCAAAGGAAATGTTCTAGTCATACTGTATCACCATAAAAACAAAAAATAATGGACAGATGGACAGACGGACAGGTGGAAGGACTGACTGAAGGACAGATGGACAAACTAATGGCAGGAGATTTAACGTCATAGCTAAGAGCGAGGGCTTTTGGAGTCAAGATGACCTGTTCGGTCCAGGCTCCTCGTTCACCTTCCCTGTGACCTTAGACCCCCGAGTCTTATCCGCTGAATGGGGTGGCCACAGTGCCCGCAGCACACGGGCGAGGCTTCCACGAATGAATGCACGGCACAGCGTTTAGCACAGTGCCCGGGACAAAGCGAGTTTGCGATCATCTCCATCATTAATTATTTCAAATAGGAAACAAGCCAGTGCGAGCTATTAAAAAGAGAGCACCATTTTCTAAGCTATAATTAGGGAAATGAAGTAGGAACCTCATTTATTAGATTTTCCCAGCATAATTAATTCAAAGGCACTGAGTTCGCAGTGATGAGCAGGGGTGACCGTGGGGTGGGGAGGGGTGACATTTCTCAACAGTAATTCGCTACGGAACAAAACTTACATCAAGTCCAGCGACTACACAGATCCCACTGACTTTTTAAGGAAAAGAGAAAGAGAGAAAGCGGAGAGAGTATGAATAAGTACAGAGGGGACAGGAGGTCACTGGTTGATTCCCGGTCGGGCACACGCCTCAGTTGCGGTCGGGCACACGCCTCAGTTGCGAGCTCGATCCCCAGCAGGGAGCGTGCAGGGGGCAGCTGACGATGTTTCTCTCTCAGAGATGTTTCTGTCTCTCTCCCTCTCCCTTCTCTCTCTGAATAAATAAAAACACATTAAAAAAGAGAAAATATCGATGTGGCTTTGTGGTTTTAAAAAGAAATGTGACTTGCAGCTCCATCAAGAAAGTAGCCCAACAAGGAAGCCACTCCCCGCTTCACTGCACTCAACACTGTAGTGCCCAGGCTTTGAGTTAAATCTTAACAGGGCTCCTTGGATTCAAGATGACCTGTTTGGTCCAGGCTGGATTGGATTACTGTTGATTCCATGCTCACGGCGGGAAAAATCAAGGCGGGCCTGCAACACCACCTCGCAAGGAGGCAAAGACCGCTTGCTCCCCAAGCTCGATCCCCAGCAGGGAGCGTGCAGGGGGCAGCTGACGATGTTTCTCTCTCAGAGATGTTTCTGTCTCTCTCCCTCTCCCTTCTCTCTCTGAATAAATAAAAACACATTAAAAAAGAGAAAATATCGATGTGGCTTTGTGGTTTTAAAAAGAAATGTGACTTGCAGCTCCATCAAGAAAGTAGCCCAACAAGGAAGCCACTCCCCGCTTCACTGCACTCAACACTGTAGTGCCCAGACTTTGAGTTAAACCTTAACAGGGCTCCTCGGATTACTGCTGATTCCATGCTCACGGCGGGAAAAACCAAGGCGGGCCTGCACCACCACCTCGCAAGGAGGCAAAGACCGCTTGCTCCCCACGGGCCTGGGGGAGGAGAGAGAAGCACAGAAGCCAGCTTACAAGGACAGCCACGGGCCAGGTGGTGACAATTTGAACATCGAAAAGGAAATAGTTAATAATCGTTAAAGGAAACGAGCCAGAGTCTGGAAAGGCCGTGAATATCAATGAACATCAAAACGGAAAGGGCAAGTGACACAGAAAGGGAAAGGGAATAGAAGAGGAGATATTTTTAATCCACTTTAAGAAGCAGGGGAGGGTGGGCGTGTGTCTGTTTGACACAGCACCGTCTGGCATTTCTGTGCCCGCGGAGGCTGCCGGGTAGGGAACTAGGAGGCAGGTAAGAGGACAGAGAGCCTGACGCTGTGGCCACAAACCACACCAGGTAGGAGGAGGGCCTGGCCCTGCCGTGCAGCCTGGTAAAGCCTATGTTCCCTTTTGTCAGAGACTCTGATAGATCCTGTCTGCCATCGTAAGGGGAATCTAATTAAATAAATACATTTGTCATCGAATTTAAATGTTTAAAAGAATTCAATAAAATTTTCAAGTTTCTAATGATTAGTTGTGTGAGCATCTGCATTTAAAGTCATATACGTATGTACAATGTTATACATATACTCGTAGGTATACACGGAACAATGTTCAATAGTTATTCAATACAGTGGAGAGGTGAGTAGACACGTACAACTGAGGATCAAAGTTATGAATTATGAGTTTGCCCCAAAGGGTCCCAGACGTGACAGATCTTGCCGCAGGCCACCTTCCTCCGTGCCCCCTGGTGATCAGCACAGGCCAGCCGAGACCCTGGCTGCCCAGTGAACAGCAGGTGGTGCCAGGCCGGCTCCCTGGGCCTCTCCCTCCTGCCTGAAGCTGAGCCTCTCAGGCCGCAGCCCCCTCTGGAACATGCTCCCCGTCTCCAGAGCTTTCCCCCTCCAGGAAACAGTACTGCTGGTCTTCCGTCCGCAGCAGAGGACAGACAGCCAGGAGCCTAAGGCAGAGGGGAAGCCCCAAAGGGCCCTGACCCTCCGTTCCGGGGGGGGCGGCAGGGCCCTCATGAAACACAGCCTTCCACGCAGGCCTTCCCTCCACTCGCTACAGAAGATTCCCTAACAGGATGCTTCTGCAGCGTTCTTCTGATTTTTAAAAAACATTGCGGCTGCCAGTCACGGAGCTCCCGCGGCAGAAGGCAGGCTGCTAACGAACAGCTTGCTGTCAACCACCCTCCCAAACGGTCTCCACCTCATTTCAGGCGCTTGTCCCACCTCGGGGGGGAAGGGGGTGCTGGGGAGGACAAAGCCTGGCTTTCAGAGAAGACACCCCAAAGCAGGGACACAGCATTCGGTGGAGCACCGCACAGCCAAGTGCCCCTGGCCTCGGGGTGATTACTAAAATCGCTGTGTGTCGGAGAAGGGGCAGAGAAGGAACAGGGTTCGGACGTGCCGCACACCCAA